CCCCAAAACCCCAAAACCCCAAAACCCCGCTAAGAAACTTATTGCAAAATTTGAAATTATTTGAAATTAATGGTGAAATCAATTAATCAATTTTATCAATTTTTGGAGTTTTAGGCTTCAAAATTGGGTTGCTGAGTTCATTGCTCAAATACCAGCAAGTTTGGTCAGAAACGATAATTCAACTGGAAAAACCTTGATCAAGTTTTGAGTTGGTGATACTCCAGAGCCAGTCTTCATGTAATTGGTAAGAAAAGCTGTGCCCATTAATAAGACTTCATTTGTACCAGCAACAAGTGAGATCCAACCTAATGTAGACCAATCATCCCATGTTACAAATGGATAAGGATCATAACCAGTAATGTCCTAAGCCAAATAGTTCAATGAAATGTAGGATAAGGTTAACCAAAGTATTCTTAATGATCCTCTTTAATAATCAAAGATAACATTATTAAACAACCAATCGACGGTCAGAAGGATAACTGGTAGAACGTGAATGAATAATGAGTCAAACCATGTTTGAAAATCACTCCATACTAGCCAGCCTTTTTCATAATATACTCCCCAATAAAGTATCGTGGTAAGCATTGTGTATGGATAGGCTATCTCAAAAACTGCTTTCACCATATTGTCATAGATATCACTCTAGACTCTGAAATGGGATACTAGTAGTAAAATTTCTACTCCTATAGCTCCAAAAGCTGCCCAATATGACATATACCATGGAAATTTCTCAAGACCTGCCTTAAATAAAGCTTGACCAGTAAATGATAAGAGCAAAGTAGTTAATCCAATTCTGAGGTATTTCATCATATCATCACTCATCCAGGGAAACCATGAGGAAGAAATATGTCTACCATCGCTGCCAGCTTATCTGGAAGTATTAACAATAAGTTTGCTAATGTGTTCTGAAGCAAGGTCACTTACGCTCTTATTCTCAAATACTCTAGAATTCAATCCTTTTACAATGTCAATAAATAGGATCTCCTAAAAATAGTTTCATTAATCGATATTTACCATTGAAGGCGAGATTATAGCCATATGTGATAAGTGTTTAGATATTTAACTTTAAATTTACAAATTTAAAACATTTAAAATTTTGAAGGATTTATAAATTTTTTCCCTTAAAAATATCAAAGCATCATAAATTAAGATTCAATTTTGCAATTTATTATTAAGCTATTTCTTAATTGCATAAAATTCAAAGTATGGGGTTTTGGGGTTTTGGGGTTTTGGGGG